ACTTTTGTATTCCAATCACCAATAGGTACCATCTCGATTGCATGTTTGGTCAATTTCCAACCGAAGCTATTGGTAGAATTCTTTAATTTCTTCTTCACTAGCTTTCCTGGTTGGTGAATACATTTGAATAACAACTGTATGGATTAGGTGAGATCATTAAATATTTGGCCAAACACAGCAGTGCTGATTTTTAAGTTGATAATTTTGGATGGCCCATGAATTTATATATATATATATATTTAATGTATTCATGACCATGAATGAAGGATATTTGAATTATAGTGCTTTTAAAGAATATTGAAAGTACCATTGACTGGCAAAAGAACACACAAATTGTTAGGTTTCTGGAGTGGGCCTTTGCATAATGAAGGAATTCACGCCAAAGTGCGCTTTGTAATCCAAGTGGGTTTTCATGAAGGACAGGACATGTTTCAGGCTTTACAGTCTCAACGGGGTTCACAACGGGGTTGAGCGGATGAAAAAGAGCACCCGCCAGTGCGGAACTGGTGGGGAGGCGGATCCCAGAGAACATGAAGGCCAGAGAGCGAGGGAGCCAGAGCTCGGAGGCAAGAGAGTGTGAGCCCCAGTGTAGGTCTGGGACGGCATGTGGGCCCCAAGGAAGCCCAGAGTGGGCCCTGAGGGGGCACGCCAGGCAGCAGGCGTATGTACCCCCACCCTCTGACCTGCCACTGAATGGGAGCAGGGGAAGAGTAAGAGAGCATCCCAGATCATGCTCCCTGCTTGTGTTAGTCTGGGTTGCTAGAGAAACAAATTCATAGACACTCATATGTGTATAAGAAAGAGCTTTATATACGAGCAATTGAATATTGAGAAAACATCCCAGCCCAGTCCAGATCAAGCCCATAAGTCTAATATTAGCCCATATGTCTGATACCAATCTATGAATTCCTCTTCAGACTCATGAAACACATGGAATGACGCCAAATGTAGGAAGAAAGATCACAGGTCAGTGGGTGTAAAGTCTTTTGGATCCAGTGGCGGTGTAAGCTTCTCAGTGCTGGTGTGGGTCTCCACATGGCTCCTCCAGTTCCTGGGCTCTAGTGTAGCTCCATGTGTCTTGTCATCAGGAATACAAAGCAGAGAGTGTGTCTATCCTCCAGTGAGCTATTTATCTCCTTTGCACCTCCAAATGATGTCATTAAGATGCCACCTGATTGACAGGCTAGACTTCCCCCCTTCGACAGGAGATTATGTAACTACCACACTGCCTTTACTCTAGCCCACCCCTGGCTGGGAGAAGGTGTGGTTGAA